TTTTCCATAAGACCTGCTCTACTTCAGGCCCTGTCCCTCCAATGATCAGGACAGTCCTCTCTCCAGTCTCATCTCTCCAATGGATGGACAATGGTTCAAAACAATTCAGGACAGAAAGCATTGTCTTATCAACAAATTGTGTTGAGAAAACTGGACATCCATAGGCAAAAATAGAAAAAAATTCACAGATGCTGGTGAGGTTTTGGAGAAAAAGGAATGCTTTTACACTGTTGGTGGGAGTGTAACTGTCAACCATTGTGGCAGACAGTGTGGTGATTCCTTAAAAATATAAAGGCAGAAATACCACTTGACCCAGCAATCCCATTACTGGGTATATACCCAAAGGAATATAAATTATTCTGTTATAAAGATATATGCACACATATGTTCACTGCAGCACTATTCACAATAGCAAAGACATGGAATCAACCTAAATGCCCTTTAATGATAGACCAGATAAAGAAAATGTGGTATATATACACATGGAATACTATGCAGTAACAAAAAGGAATAAGATTATGTCCTTTTCAGGGACATGGAGGGAGTTGGAAGCCATTAGCCTCAGCAAACTAACACAGGAATAGAAAACAAAACCCTGCATGTTCTCACTTATAGGTGGGAGATGAATGATGAGAACACATAGACAGATAGGGTAGGGGTGGAGACAACACACCCTTGGCCCTTTCGGGGGGTGGGAAGTGGGGGGAGGGAGAGCATCAGGAAGAGTAGCTAATGGATGCTGGGCTTAATACCTAGGTGATGGGATGATCTGTGCAGCAAAGCACCATGGCACACATTTACCTATGTAGCAAACCTGCACATCCTGCACATGCACCCCGAACTTAAAATAAAAGTGGAAGTAAAAAACAACTAACAAAGAAAGAAAAAAATCCACTTAAACATCCATACTTGCACAAAAACTAACTCAAAATTGATTATACAACTAAATGTAAACTGCAAATCTAGAAAACTTACAGTAGAAAACGTAAGAGAAAATTTTCATGATGTAGGCACGAAGTATTCTTAGTTATCGTATCAACACAAACTATTAAAGAAAACATTGATACATTCAACTTCATAAAAGTTAAAAATCCTTGGTCAGTACAAGACATTGATAATAGAATAAAACATATGCTACAAATTGGGAGAAAAATACGAAAATCCCACATAGGATGAAGGACCTGTATAATGGTTAATTGTGTGTGTCACTGTGACCGAGCCCCAGGGTGCCAGGACATTTGTTCCAACATTATTCTGGGCGTGTGCTGGAGGGTGTTTCTGGATGACATTAACACTGGAATAGACAGACTAAGTGAAGCAGACTGTCCTCCCTAATGTGGGTGGGCCTCATCCAATCAACCAAAGGTCAGAGGAGAAGGAAAGGGCCTAATAAGAAGGAAATGCTTTCCTGCGTATCCAGCTTTCCATCTTGGGAATTGCAGCCTCCATAATCATATGTCCAAATTTATATGTATATATACACACACACATACACACATACATGTACATGCATTATACATATATATATGTATACACACATTTCATAAGTAGGAAGGATTGTATTTTTAAAAGTTCAGTTATTCAATGATAATTGCTGAGCTAGCCAATGAATATGAGGGAGTTCTATTATATGATTCTGTCCCCTTTTTTTTTTTTTTTTTTGAGACGGAGTCTCGCTCTGTCGCCCAGGCTGGAGTGCAGTGGCGTGATCTCAGTTCACTGCAAGCTCTGCCTCCCGGGTTCACGCCATTCTCCTGCCTCAGCCTCCCGAGTAGCTGGGACTACAGGCGCCCGCCACCTCGCCTGGCTAGTTTTTTGTATTTTTTAGTAGAGACGGGGTTTCACTGGGTTAGCAAAGATGGTCTCGTTCTCCTGACCTCGTGATCCGCCCATCTCGGCCTCCCAAAGTGCTGGGATTACAGGCTTGAGCCACCGCGCCCGGCCTTCTGTCTCCTTTTTTTATACTATTGAAATTCCACATTTGAAGAAGTAGGATAGGATAACAGCTGATTTTCCTAACACACACTTCAAAGCCCTAGGAATTAGCAGGGAGTCAAAAATACCACCCAGAACCCTGCCCCTAAACACCAGGGCTAAAGAACCCTGTAGCCCTCAGGCGATTTTATTTAGCCGGGTCTGGGAACCACACAACTGCAGAGGGAGCAGGAAACACTATGCGAATAGAGGCCAGGACAGAAGGGAGGGCCTGTTCATGACAGAACACAGGTAAAACTATCCTCAGAAAGTGAGTGTGAAGAAAGAAAGATCATGCCTGAGACCTGGTAGCAAAAAATAATAAGCAAAGAAAGAAAAAAAATCTACCTAAACATCCATACTTGCACTAAAACTAACTCAAAATTGATTATAGAACTAATCAATCCATACTTACACTGGCTACTGGGGAATTGAAAGGAAGGGGCTTCACGGTGCAGAGGACCAGAGGTGGCAAGCTCGGAAACCCAGAATTGTTGGGAGATGGGGAGGTGTGGACAAAGGAAGCATCCTCTGGAGACTTGTGGTGAAGAGAATGAATGAAGTAACTGGCAGAAATTAGAGGTCCTGGTAGAATGAAACAGAATCCCAGAATGAGAACACACACCATCCCTGTCCCCTAAAGCAAGACATTTTCTAAAAACTCAAGAAAAATCATTTTTGGCAAGTACCTTATATCTAGTCAGGTGCACCATGTACCAAGGCAGCGGGAAAACGTTATTAAGCAAAACTCAGCGAGACCCTATTCCCTCATGAGGACTCTCCCAAGAATAAATTCCCTTCAACAAGTGATGCCCAGGACACTCACTTGTGAATAGTTCATGAGCATCAGCATGTTTAATTGTGGACCTAAACCAAAAGCCAAGGTGGAGACAGGGAAACACAGGCCGTCACTGGTATATGCTTGGGTTGAACTAACACTATAAGAAATGGCAGGTTAAGAGGTCAGAGAAGAGGAAAATAATATCTTTGGTTGTCATAGTGGTAAAAATTTAAATTCAAAAGGTATGATTAAAAATTTATAAACCAAATATTAGAAGTGTGTCAAGTTAAAAGGGGACTAGTGATGTCAAAACATTTTTAGTGCAATGTTAAACATGAGCTACACAACCCTTCCTAAATAACAAACAAAAGGCACACACACACACAAAGAAAAAATAACATTGATAAAGAAATGTAGTAAATACCATCTACTACTGCATATGATAAATGTAGACTAAAATATGGAAGAGTTTAAAATGTAAACAGGGAAATAAGAATGTTTTTATTAATCTGTATCCTTATCCACCAAAACCAATCATAATAAAAGCTTAAAACATTGTATGTAAAAAAAAAAAAAATCTACTAGTCCAGAATGATAGGCAAGAATATTTTAATTAAACAGATTTAAAACATAAACATTTTAACTTTAATAGACTACAATTAGTCCTGGATGAAAGTTAAAATTTGGGCAGGGAATATTCTTTTTCACAACAGAATGCCAACAGAAATAAGTTCATAGTAAGAACTGAGATAGAAATTTCCAATGTACAAACATAAATATAATAACTGACACAGCCAGGGGTGATTAATTGATGATGAAATTCTCAGAGGAAGATTGTTAGAATACAGGGTGTTTATCCTTTTTCAAACCACTTTCCAAATTAATTATAAACAAAGGTGTCTTTACAAAGGACAGATCTCCCAGACCCCTCCTTAACCACGTAACCAGTCCTGATATAACAATAATGGTGACAGACAAACCGGACCTTCTCTGCCTGCAGAGGGGCTGAGGTTGGAAACTCACAGCATTGACTCTGCAGTGTTCCTGGCAAAATGTTTAGGCTGAATTTAATCATAAGGAAATTTTCTGACAACTTCAGAATGAAGACCATTGAGCCAGACAGCTGACCTGTCCTCTACAAACAAGTCCATGTCACCACCATCAATGACAACAACAAAAAGATGAGGAGATACTTTGGGTTCAAAATAACTAAAGAAGTGTAGCTACATTATCTTTCTACCCAAAATATCTCTTCTCCTTTTTGTTGTGTGATTCGTGGCGACATGGACTGTGTGAAGGAGACAGGTCAGTTGTCCTGCTCAGTGTTCTATATTCTGCAGTTGTCTGGTGATTACCTCCTATGAAACTCAGGCTAAGCGTTTTCAGCAAGAACAAGGCATTGTTCATATTCTGCACCGGCAGAGTCTCGGGTGACATGCTGTCTCCTGCCAGCGGCTCCTGACTCCTGTTCTCTACAGGATGAAATTGAGAGGAGCAGGGCTGAGGCCTCTCAATGCTGTTTGTCCATCTGGGAATTGGTCTCCTTGGGTATTCATCACAAGTGGAAATGGGACGGATTGTGGTTTTTCAAATCAATGGATCCTAGTGGGTTGAAATCATCAAGAGCATTCTGTGTCTAAAATTCAGTCCTCAGCAAAGGACCCCTGCAGTGTTGTATTTGAACTTCAACTTGCTTTGCTGTTTTAGTTTTTTTCATCAAGTGGAAAAGCTACTTTTTGTGACATCTTTTCATCTTTTTCATCCTTCCAGCAGTATTTGGTATCTGTAGGAGAGAGAAAAGAAAAAATGAAAAGAGCATCTCTGTCAAGTCCTGCTGATGACTGAGTCTGGAGGGATTGTTAAGTTGTGATAGCCCAGGGGCAAACTGAGCTCCTGCTGGGAGGATGAGCTGAAGCCTCAGCCTCTGGCTAGCTGAAGGGGCAAGTACCATCCACAAGTGAGAAGAAAACACCCCTGAACTTCCAGTCAGCCTGGAGTGCAGATATAAGGACCTGCCTATGCCCAACCAGCAGCCGATGACCCTTTCATTCTGATCCCCTTTGTCCGGAGCAGTGATGGCTTTTCACACCTCCCAGACAGGATGTACTCAGCGTCAACCATGCACACTCAGAAGCAGAGGGCTGTAGAAGGAGAGGGCCCTTTGCAGAGAAACCCACCCCCTTACAACTCCATGTCCCAGTCTTCTGGGAAGGAGCGGGAGAGCAGACTATGGGAAGAACCTGGACGTGAGAAGCAGCAGGGGCCTCAGACAATACCCACAAATAGGGAAGAGAACAGCAGTGGGAGAAGGAGCTGTCATCATAGACAGAGAGAAATAAGGAGCGAGTGCCGCTAAGAGCCATAGATGTGATTACTTTCCTACTCTAAGCTTGCAGGCCAGGGAATCTGCATGCCAGTCTCCACCTGCTGAACGGCAGTTTTCTTTTGATCATTTTCGGTTTTAGGACACTTGAGGCATGAATGTGGCCAATGACTTGATGTCCATGTGTGTTGTCGGTTGAGCCTTCAAGAGCATCACCTTCCAGCTGGGGAGGGTTCTTCATTCCAAGGGAAGGCTCTGAACCCAGCTCTGAAAATAAAACCACAGACAATGGGATCCACTGGCATCCATGTTCTCACCGTGACTTTCCTTCTACGCAAAGAACATCAAATAAGGAAAAGTGGCGTCCAAAGCCAATGGAGTCACTTTGGTATTTTCTTTTTGTTGATCTTTCTTACATTACCCAGTAATGACAAGATGGCCAGGAAGCAAAGACACTCCCAATTCACAAAAATATTCAAACAACAGAGGATTAAGAAACACAAGTAGATTACAGGTAGATAAGGCAAGGAAATCACACTGTATATAGACTGTGCTTTTGGGAAGGAAGAGATTATAAAACTCAAGCAAAATCAAAGTGAAATCAGAACTGAGCTCAAACAGGAGAAGGCAATGGCAGGGCCTGGCAGGGCGGCAGCCCATGGGGCACAGAGGTGAGATCAGACAGCGGTGACAGCAGCTGATGAGAGAAAAGAACCAGGAAGACTAAACATGGAGAAGTTACAAAAGTTGCATCATTATATGATCTCCTGCATGTATGTATACCCTGTATAACATACACACCAAATATGCTTAATATATATGACAAATGACACAAATGCATATATCTATATATACATATTAATCTAATAAGAGTATTATACAGGGATTTGGGAGCTATTGAATGTAACAGTATAACCACTCTTCTCGTCCATAAAAATTGGAAAAAAATAGAAACATGAGAATATTGAGAAGAAAAAGTGTGGTGAGAAACAAATGACCAGTTGGAAAGCCAGGAGAAATCACCAGGTGAAGGAAAAGAAAACAAAAGGCATTCATTCTGTCCTCTTACCTGGAGCCTGGTTCATGCTCTAGACTCCAGGGAAAATGAGCAAGAGAGGGCGTGTCTGAGCCAGCGGGGTGAGTCTTGGCTGGGGGTGTGGGAATCCATGGAGAAACAAAAGAGATTCCAGTGGGAAGAAATATGTTTAAATATTCGAAGTTATCACGGCACATGTCAGGGACTACGCATTCCCTGACACTCACTGAGCGCCTTCCGTGTGTCCTCTTCAGGGACCCAGATGGTGCTCGTTACATCACGTGACCCTCCCTCCTCCTGAGGACATGGGTCTCCTTATTCTTCAGCTGAGGGCATCGCCTGACAGATGAGCACCAGGCAGCCCCAGGGCCTCCAGGAGGAGATATTGAGTGGGACAGAGAGTAAGGATGAACACGATCCAGGGTTTTAAGGAAATCTGAGCAAAAGTGGATCCCTGGAAGAAGGAAACTGAGGACGTGGCTGTGGACGTAGTAGAGATGATGAACTAAATGGAGTTTCATAAAAGAGACTGATTTGTACACTTTCCATGAGAAGGTTGCCCTTTTATTTCAAAAAAAGCTGAAAAAGCAGAAGAGGCTGGATACGTCAGGAGACTGACTTGTGGGCCAGGATTTACACTTTTACTGAATGTGCCTAATAGGTTATTATTGAAAGTGTCTGGTAAAGGAAAATTGGCCTCATAAGGGATGAGTAATGAGAGGAAGAAAGCTGGCAAAGGAGACTTTCTAAGAAAGCGATGGAAGAGGGGTCCCCAGAAAGCAGAGATCCTAACAATTGCTCTACTGCAGACGAAACACCGCATATGAAGTCACTATCTAAGTGCGAATTTGCCAGAAAGAGAAAATGATTCGATATCACCTATTCATAGGTTTATTGAGCAATTGTTACTGAATCCGGCCCTCTGGAAATCATCATAATTAATACTCTCAATAATGATTACAGGTAGATACGATTTTTCAGGTATCTCATATGAGGGAACTGAGATATAAATAGCAAAAAGATAAAAACCTTGGCCAAAGTGAACAACTAGACAGTGGCAAAGCCAGGGCCTGAGAGCAAATTTGATCCTAAGCCCCAGGCTCTTGCTCACCTCACTGGGTTGGAGTATCGTGGATTTCAACTTGACTCTGAGGGAGCATGAAGAGACCCCACTGTCTCCTCCACCCACAGTACCATGACCACCAACACCCGGATTAGAGCTTCCTGGTCCCCTTTCCTTCCTACCTTGGAAGGGCCATTGCTTCCCAGGATCAGCGTTGGCTGTGAAGCTGCAGGTGGTGGAGGAAACGCCCCACCTGGCTAAGCCATAGCCACAGTCAAACCCTTGATCCAGCTGCAGTTGCAAAGAATTGGGCACCAGGGTTCTCGGCTCCGGCTGTGCCTGTGAAGCCTGCATCTCTGACAGGTGGTGGCCGATGTCTCCACTCCAAGGCCCGTGGGGACAAGCTGCCTGGGTGGGACCTGAAAGAGAAGGGTCTTCAGTAGGAACAACCTCATTTGTTACGCATGCCCAGAACGCCTATCCTTGATGTCCCTGCCTCTCAGTAAAATCACCCAGTGACCAGGCCACGCAGACCGACATCATGTAAATGCAGGCATAGTCACCTTTCCTGTTTGTGCCTGGGGATGCTGAGATAGCAGGTGCCGAGGCTGGGCGTCCCTGAAGTGAAATACCCCTGTTTCAGCCCAGAAGGCTTTGGATTGGCTAACAACGTCATGCTAATTATTCTGTCATTATTGATCTCTTTCCAGTGGTCTAGAGGGAAAGTTCTAGAGAGCCCTCAGAGCATAGGAGAGGAGAAGTTGTTTCTCTCCACACACAGGGGTATAAGAACAGGGCAAGAGTTAGAGCCGCCAGGCTTTGAGAAAGAACCATGGAAAAGGGGGCTGGGATCCTATAGACCAAACACTAAATGAGGAAAGCTTTTCAGGGTTCCGGGACATTTTGAATTTCCTATTGCCTATAATGGTTTTACCAACTGCCCACACACATACATCTTATTGCCATATGAAGGGTCTCAGCAACCATAAGCAAAGTATTAGAGGGACCAGTCCCTTCACGGACACTTAGGGGCCACAGGTATTACCGATCAGCGTGTGTGGTTCTGTAGGGAGATAACACTGAGCACAGTCCTCATCTTACCCGCTCCTCCAGTGGGGCCCGGGCAACACCCCTCATAAAAATTATCGCTATTTCCACAGGAAGAGGAAATCACACTCTCAGAAAGTGGACTAAGGAAAGACTTCCGGTGGCCTCACATCAGTCCAGGTCGGCCTCAAAAGAGGAATGGGGCCCTCAGGGCCTTACCCACATTGCTGCAGGGCTCCTCTCTCTCCTGCCCTCTGCACATCCTCATTCTCACCAAGATTTCTCTAAGTTTTCTTAAAAATGCCTTCCGTGTATCTGTTCTCCTTCATCTTCCTGAGAGCACAGTGTATCAGACTCATCACTGATGCCTGGCTTCATACACCCCTGCAACTGCTTTCTCTGATTCTGCCATCTCTGCACGAGCAATTATACCACAAGCAATTTATCACCCAAAAGCCCTGTTCTTTCCATGTTCCTACTCTGCTTCTGAAAACTCTCTGCTGCCCACTGTGCCACTCTCCCCGCTCACTCTGCCTGTGTGCTCCTACTGTCTTCTGCCCCATTATCCTATCCAGCATCACCTCCCACCACTCCCTCACACAGTCTCCCCTGGGGTCAGGCTGGCTGCTCCCTGGCCCAGCCCTGCACAGGGTGCCTTCCAGTTTCTGGGTCTTTGTCCAGCAGCACTTCTCTTGGCTTGGTGTGGCCTTCTTAGTTACTCAGGGCACAGTTTACTGATCGTTCACCATCAGTCACTTAAGACACTCTAAGATTTTATGATAGTTCATATTGGGCAAATGAGAACAATATGCTGAAACAACAAATCTCATGGGTGAAGACTGGGCAAACACAGTCTCTCTTTCTGTTCCTCTGCACTTGCTATTTAGAATCAATGTCTAGGAATGTTTTAAATTATCACTACTTAATTTTGTCATGTCATTTTGTCCCTCTTTGCTAGACTACTGAGTCTTATTAAACTTATACTTTGAATATTCTTTGCATTTTCAGGAGAAAAGGGAAAACATTTTCTCAAGCTTCTAAAATACGGTAGTACTGTGAGTTGGGCAGGTGGGAAAAAGCACTCAATTATAGATCAAGTGATCATTTAGGTTGTATTCTCCTTGGTTCTACCAAGCTTTCCTCTGTAGGGAGAGGATGGATGGAGCGGATCGCCTGTGGAAACCGCTGCTGCGGTCAGGGCTGTGTACTGCGCACGCTATTCACACACCATTGTCATGAACCCACACACAGGATGCATCCTTGTGTAATTTGAAAGGTGCATTCATTCATCTCAACCCATCTGCATGGAGGATTGTGGCCTCCCCAGGCCCCTGTTTCATGATGCTCTGGCAGAGCCGGCCCATATCAGAGGCATATCACTTCTGAGGCATGTGTCTGAGCACTTCCCTTCCTCCTTGTAGAAGCCCTGTCCTGGTTGGGGTGTTCCTCAGACAGAGCCCTGCAGATTTACAGGGGCTCAAGGATGGCCAAGTTGAAACCCTGGGGACAAGGGCTGGGGAGAGACTAAGACCTTTCATCCCCTGTGTGATTTTCCAAGGAGAGCCCCATGGAGCTGTAGGTCCCCCTGGAGGGACTGGAGGAACCACTAGCTCTGCTCACAGACGAAGTGCACAGAGGTATTCCTCCTTGGAGATTCTGCGCCAAGGGCTGCAGGAGTTCTTTGTACCAGGCTAGCAACTTTTCTGTTTCAACTTGAAATCATTCCAAATTAATTTCTACAAAAGAAAAAAGGATGAGCACCCATGTCGGCTCAGCCCTGACACGTTCTCCCGCCAACAGAGAAATAAATAACAGCGACTGTGCTCTGGAGTCAGGTAGATATGGGGCTTATATTCCCACCGCAACTAGTCAAGACATCCTGGGCAAGTGAGTGGACCTTTCTGAGCCTCGGCGTCCTCAGCTCTAACATGGAGACGCCACCGCAAACTTGGGAGTGTCCCTGGAGCACTGAACGAGTTACAGCAAGGACAGAGCTTGCTTAGCAAGGGGCCTGGCATACAGCCGATGCAAAGTCAATGTGTATTTTATTTCTGTTTCATGAATTGCTGTGATCCTAAAAAAAAGCCTTTGCTTCTTTGAAACTCAGGGAGAAATGGAAAACAGGAAAGGGGAGGGTCCCAACATCAAAGGCACTTACCAAAATAGATAGAGGCCAACATTTTTGTTGCTAGTTTCTTTTCTCTTTCTTTATTTCTTTTTTTCTTTTTCTTTTTTCTTTTTTTGAGACAAGGTCTCCTTGTTGCTCAGGCTGGAGTGTGGTCGTACAATCGCAGCCCTCTGAGGCCTCAACTTCCCAGGCTCAGATGATCCTTCCACCTCAGCCCTCCGCATAGTAACTGGGACTACCGGTGTGTGTCACCATGTCCTGCTAATTTTTTGTAGAGACAGCGTTTTGCCATGTTGCCCACACTGGTCTCAATCTCCTGAGCACAAGCAAGCCCCCTTCCTCGACCTCTCAAAGCGCTAGAATTACTGAAGTGAGTCACTGCACCTGGCATTGTTGCTAATTTCATTATAAAATATTCATATATTTTGGGGGACATCACAGAGTTCCTTGCTCTTACTAGAAGATAATTTGATGGGCAAAACCTTCAACAATCAGGCCAGGCATGGTAGCACATGCTTGTAATTCCAGCACTTTGGGAGGCCGAGTCAGGCAAGTCACCTGAGGCCAGGAGTTGGAGACCAGCCTCACCAATATAGTGAAGTCCCATTTCTACTAAAAAGGCAAAATTAGGCCAGGCACGGTGGCTCATGCCTGTAATCCCAGAATTTTGTGAGGCCAAGGCGGGTAGATCACCTGAGGTAAGGAGTTCGAGACCAGCCTGGCCAACATGGTGAAACCCATCTCTACTAAAAATACAAATGTCAGCCAGGCACGATTGTGGGCGCCTATAATCCCAGCTACTTGGGAGGTTCAGTAACAAGAATCACTTGAACCCGGGAGGTGGATGTTGCAGTGAGCCAAGATTGTGCCACTGCATTCCTGCCTGGGTAACAAGAGCGAGACTCCATCTCAAAAGGCAAGAATTAGCTGGGCGTGGTGGCAGGCACCTGTAATCCCAGCGACGCAGGAGGCTGAGGCACAAGAATTGCTTGAACCTGGGAGGTGGAGGTTGCAGTGAGCCGATACCATGCCATTGCACTCCAGCCTGGGTGACAGAGTGACTGCGTTTCAAAAAAAAAAAAAAAAATAGAATGAGCAAGAAGAAATGAACGTTGGATATTTTTCTCTACACATCCTGTGAAGCTGCTGTCTCAAGGGGGAGTTGCTAAGAGGAAGGGTTTTCTGGAGATCGTGGGGACGGGAACCACTCTGCTTTGTTCATCAGTTAGGCCAGCACCTCATCAGATATACGAGTTGTCAATGGCTTCTGTGAGAATATAGCACTGAGACCAACATGTGGTTGAAACTACAATCCCATCCATGTAAAATCTACTAGCGCTCTACAGAGGATGCAAGCTATGGCCTTGCATGGAGGAAAGGACACTAGACTGCTTCAGTGGAGGGAAAGCTTTCAATGGAAAGCTACCACAGAGGAAGTAGAGTGGCAGTCACCAACTTTTTTGGCACCAGGGACCAGTTTCAAGGAAGACAATTTTCCACGAGCAGGGTAGGGGGGATGGTTTTGGGATGATTCAAGCACATTACATTTATTGTGCACTTTATTTCTATTATTATCACATTGTAATACATAATGAAACAATTATACAACTCATCACAATATAGAATTATTGGGATCCCTGAGCTTGTTTTCCTGCAACTAGTTGGTCCCATCTGAAGGTGATGGGAGACAGTGACAGATCATCAGGCATTAAATTCTCATATGGAGTCTCTAGACTCCTCACACGCACAATTCACGATAGGGTTCAAGCTCCCATGAGAATCCAATGCTGCTGCTGATCCAACAGGAGGTGGAGCTCAGGCGGTAATGCTCGCCCACTGCTCACCTCCTGTGCGTCATGAACCAACACAGGTCCATGGCCTTGGGGGTTGGGGACCCCTAAAGTAGAGAATCTAGCTTGGGACACAGAAATCATGAAATAGACCTCCAAAATAATTGAGCAAGACTGCAAGCACATGTGGGTGGCCAGAAAAGAGATAAGGGCACTGCTCAGGGCAGCAGTTAGCAACATAATTTCAGAAAAGAGAGATGCCCTATCTTAAAGAATGATACCATCTGATCTTCGACAAACCTCACCAAACAAGCAATGGGGAAAGGATTCCCTATTTCATAAATGGTGCCGGGAAACCTGATTAGCCATATCCAGAAAACTGAAACTGGACCCCTTCCTTACACCTTCCTTATACCAGCTATAAAAAGATTGAGATCATGTCCTTTGCAGAGTGAATGACATGGATGAAGCTAGAAACCATCATTCTGGGCAAACTAACAAAGGAATAGAAAACCAAACACTGCATGTTCTCACCCATAAGTGGGAGTTAAACAATGAGAACACATGGACACTGTGAGGGGAACAACACATGCCAGGGCCTGTTGGGGGTTGAGGGGAAAGGGGAGGGAGAGCATTAGAAGAAATACCTAATGTATGCGTGGCTTAAAACCTAGATGACGAGTTGATAGGCGCAGCAAATCACCATGGCACATGTATACCTACGTCACAAACACGCACATTCTGCACATGTATCCCAGAACTTAAAGTAAAATAAAATGAAATAATAAAATAAAAAAAGAAGGTCTGTTATACAGATTTCTCCAGGTGAGCTACTGTTGTCAAGATTTTGCAATGATCCCTCACCATCCCCCTCTCTGGTCTGTTTGGATACGCACAGCCTGCTCTTGTGAGAAGATGCCAGGTGACAGATGAGCCAGTTGGGACAGAAGAAGAGGAAGTTCCACCTAGTGGATGTCTGTGCTTAAAACTAGATCCAAGAGCCAGATTCAAAACAGGCTCAGTATACACGGCCTGCCTACAGAGATGAACTGCCTCAGCTGCACAAGTTGCACAAAGCAAAACAGATAGAGGCTGCCTGGGAGAAAGGTGGAGCTTTGTGACCTTCAGGCTGGAGTACTCACAGGCTATATCTAGAGCAGAGCAGGTGAACTGATCCTCCAGTGAGTACAAGGTGCCGCTATAAGCCTGGTGGCAGTCACACAGGTCATGGGGAACCGAAGGAGTCAAGTAAACTTCATCCAGGGAGTTCTCTGGGACCTCCTGCTCCTCCACCTCTAGCAGCTTCTGCCTCAGTCTGGTGGGTAAAGACGACATAAGGTAAACACCAGAGAGAACCAAAACCACTGTACTCAGCTGGGTCTATAGGGAGGCTCACAGGAGGGACCAGAGGAAGCAAAGGACAGTCCCCTCAGAGAGATACAAGGATGCTTCCCTGTCTCGAGCAGGAGACAGAGAGCAGCAGGTGCTCAGTGCACTGGGCAGACAATGAGCTGGGCAGGAAAGAGATGGAACAATCCCTGTGAGAAATGGCCATGACACAGTGCATTCAGCACTTTTGCATACATTTGTTGAAATTAGCATCACTGGTCAAATGAATACAGGCTCGTAAGGCTTCACAGACAGAGTGAGTGCATCCTCAACATCCCTTGCTCTCAATATTGTAGCAGGACATGAGTAATTTTCCCTCACTTTCCTGCTATCAAATACTTGCAAACATGTTATTGTCAAAGTGGCAGACATCAGATGTGCACCTCTTCTTCACTTTAAGCAAAAAGGACAGAAAAGAGGACCACAGAAAATGTCTGTGACTGATCAGTTCAGCAGAGTCAACTGAATGCAGACTAGTACAGTTTATAGAGATTAATAAGGAGAAAAAACAAATACAGGTATACAATGAACAGAGTCCACATTATGAACATGGCTATTTCATGGTTGGCTGAACAGATGAAACAGGTATATTCAGCACACTCTCTGATTTTCCCTGCATGTGGAGTCTCCAGATATCAACACTGAATTGACTGCCCATGATTCCTCAGAGTTACCTGCGGCATGGTGGGTCTTGGTCTGCTAGCTCCTCTTGATCCCTGTTAATTTCTGCAAATAAATTCAGACAGGGACAGACACATTAAGCAGGTTCCCCTACACACACAAACAAGCCACTGTGCAATCCTAACATAAGAACATCGGTTTCCTCAGTGGGAGAACAGGACACTGTGAGAGAAATTTTCCCAGAGGCCTGAGGTCCTGTCATGAGAGAGGTGCTCTGGGTTTCTTCCCTAAGCCTAGGGGTGAAATCTCCCTGTTGTGGTAGATCATCATCCCAATATCATCACTCCTGATTTTGTGCGAAGAGTTATGCAACATTTTTCACACCAATTTAAAGCAAAAATCCCAACTGCTTTCTAGCAGAAATATCTAGCTTTCTATCATTAAATACCCACATTGTTCATGGTTGCGAGGATGTTAGACAATGAAATTAGAATGAAGGGGGGAATCAACAGACTCCTGAATCAAAATGAATCTTTGGTGCTATAAAGAAACATTGGCTATTCGTGGCATCTAGGAGTGACGAGGCCCAGTCTTGCTTCTGCAAACATAACAAAAGGTAATGGACTGCTCTGCTAAGACAGGCCAACATCGAAGACACAGAGAATGAGGCTTGGTTCATTGAAATCTGGGTAATATCTCTAACAGAAATGTAGTCAAAGATGCCACTGGCCTTGGGCAGGCATAGAACCTGAAGGAACATGGTTGGGGAAGGAAACTTGTAAGGAACACAATAGCTGGCAAGACAAAGTTTATTCAGATTAAGAGGCCTGACAGACACCTGCTGGGCATGTGTTACGTACACTGGTGTGAATTTTTCACACCTGCTTGGGGTCCAGTGTCCTAACAGTTGATCCAGGATGCCACAAGAATGGCCTGAGACTAGGAAGAGGCCAAAGTTCATGGACCCAATCCTACGTCTTTGTTTCAGACTCGATTCCAGAGTGATACAAATCTACATGTATATCTAGGTCCAGTTCACAGTGTTGACAACTCTCAGTCCAGCCACGGGTGGGAGGCCCAAGGATTTTGGGGTCCACCTAGGACTTCTATCACCTTCACAACGGAGTACTCACTGTCTACGTCAAGAGCCACGCAGGCTTGCTGTTCCTCTAATGAATGCAGGGCACTCCTCATATCAGACTGGTAGGAGTCAGTCAGGTCAGGAGGGATCGGAATAGTCGAGTCAGCTTCATCCCATGACTCCTGAGGGACTTCATGCTCCTCCACCTGTAGCAGTTGCCTGTTGAGCCTGTTGGGGTAGGAAGGTCTAAAAATTAATCCACGGAAGATCAGGTGCCACAGAGGTCTATCTGAATTTGGTGGAAGGTTTGAGACAGTGGTTGCAGAAATCTATTTAAAAGGAGGAAAAGTATCCTCTAATTTGTAGGATACAGTGTGGCTTCCAAGGGAATGTGGTGTGGGGCTGTGCTCAGGGAACTGGCCAGATTATAAGGCGATGGGGAGGGAGAAAGGAAGCCCTCTATGATCACCCTCATGACACACAGTATGGAGAGATTACTAGAGCAGTGGCTTCAGTGGTTTTGCATAAAATGAGTTGAAGTTGATATGCAATAGGTACATGATTGTAGCATTAGAGGAAGTGTAGGCTCCAAAACCTTTCACCTTCAGGCAGGCCTCTTATTCTCAATATAGTGACAGGCTATGGTTTTTTTCTAGTTCCTTTTCCTATTACCAAAGTCCTAACACATGATGAAGAGAAACAAGTCAAAATCAAGTCTGCATCACACTGGTTGTGACCCCGCACCCAAGAGAGAAGGGGCAATTGCAGGAGCTCCCTAGTCAGGTGTGTTGACCTGAGTAACCAACTGCAGGTTACTAAATGTCAGAGGGAGGAAGTAATGGGATCCTATGCAGGTACCACCATGAAAACAGACAATCTTATGACTAGGGATAATTTGTGACTTGTTGAGAGGATATATATATATATAGCACTTTCTGTTTTACCTAGGTCTGGAGTCTCCAGCTGTCAACAGTGAATGAACAGTCTACAGTTCCTGAGACTTACCTAGGGCACAGTAGTTGTTGGTCTTCCATCTTCTTTCGGTCATTTAGATTTTCTACAAATAAATTCAGACAGGGCTGTCACATTAAGCTGATTCCCCTCCACACATGTCCAATTCACTGTCCAGTCCTAACACAGAGACATCTAACTTTCCAGTATGAGAACAGGATTCTGCGAGAGACATATTTCAGGAGGCATAAGGTTGTGTCTTGAGAGAACTGGCTTATTGACTTTCCTGAGCCATGGGGCAAAATCTGCCTGTGCTAGTAGGCCACCATCCCAACATCCTCCATTCTGACTCTGGCCAAACAGTGAAGTAATCCTTTTCCCCACAGACTCTAGGCAAATAGCTAAACTGCATTGTATGAGGGAAACTGTAATATTCAGCCTTCTTCACCAAATACTCAGGTTTTGATGATTTAGAACAGGGGCCCCCAATCCCCAGGCCACAGACCAGCACTGATACATGGCCTGTCAGGAACCAGACCATACAGAAGGAAGTGGGTAGCAGGAGAGCCAACATTACAGCCTAAGCTCCAGCAAATCAACCTGTGTCTATGAGTCATGAACACACCAATGACACGCCTAAGTCCAGCCAGGAGTGTGAGGTGCAAGGATTACAAAGTCTGCCTGGGGCACCAATTGGAGATTTATCATGTTCAAAATGGAGTACTCACTGTCTACAAGAGCCAAGCTGACTTGCTTTTCTTCAAAAGAATACAAAGTTCTCCTATAAGGCTGGCAGGAGTAAGTCAGGTCAGGAAGAACAGAAGCAATCAAATAACATCCATCCAGTAACTCCCGGGGGACTTCATGCTTGTCCACCCTCAGCGGTTCCCTGCTGAGCCTGCAGGGTAGGAAGGACTATAGATTAATCCAAAAAGTTTCAGAGCCCTAGCTGGATTTCATGTGAGGCATGAAGGAGCAACCACAGAAAGCAAATGGTCAACCCATTAAAGAGTTCAATATTCTCCTCTTCTTGGTGGGTTGCAGTGTGGTTGCCATGGGGTAGGTGAGCAATACAGAGAGAGGGAAAGAGAGACAAGAGAGAGAGAAGCATCAGGTACTCCATGAATTGGCCAGATTATGATTTTCTGAGGCAGGAGACTGAGTGTTTCTGTATGGTACAGTCATGACTTACTGATGATCATGTCCCAGAAGAGTGGTTTCATCCTTTTTTCTTAAATTGTATTGAATTTTATATGTATTGGCCAAGTAAGCACAGATTTTGAGGCATTATAATATCCCCAAAATCTCATGTCATCAAGTCCCCTTTCTCTTAATATTGTGGCATGGTATTATAATAATTTTTCTATCAAATTTTCTGCCGTGGAATACTCACCACTGTGCTAATGCAAAACCAGCAGAAAGCAGATATGCATCTCAGGGTGGTTGAAACCATAAGAACAACATATCTGCTTGCAGGAAATCTCTGTGACTGATTAGTTGTTCACAAAGTCAACTGGTTTTGTGTACTGAACTTGAGAAGTTAATAAGAAATGGCAAATAAGAAATGGCAAATAGTACAAGTATCACAATGAAAACAGAAAACATTGTCCAAAAGGATCATTTCTGGTTGGCTGAAGGGATGAATTAGGTATATTCAGGACTTTCTGGTTCTCTGTGGATATGAGTTGTAGAGCTATCACCCCTGAATTGACGGTTCCTGATTTTTCTCAATTACCTGGGAGCAATCGTTTCTTGTCTTTTCACCTCTTCAAGACCAAGTTGCTTTTCTGCAAATACATTGAGAGAAAACCAGTCACATGAACTTGATCCCATTCATACATGAACAAACTTGTGTCCAAACCCACACAGTGGCATAAATATACTCAGTGTAATAGCAGCCTATTGTGAGAGGAACTTCCCAGGAGGCCTCAGCATGAGCCTTGCGAGAAGCCACTAGGTTTACTTTCCTGAGCCATGGAGCAAATCTCCTTAACATAACAGGTCATCATCACAGTCCCTTCTGTCCTGAGCCACAGCAAACTGTTAAACACATCCTTTTTTACTGAGAGATCCTGGGGATCCACTTCAATGCTTTCTAGGAGGGTTACTGCAGTATTCAGCATGCTTCCTTCTGATAAGTTACCGTTGGTGGTTTTGTAGAATTCACATTTAGATGGATAGATTGCGTCAAAAGAATCTCTCATGCTATGCAGAAACACTGGCCTTTCATCTTGTAGGGAGTTTCAGGGCCCAGCCTTCTTTCAGAGAAACATCGAAAGTCCAATAGTGGTGTTCATGTTCTGGTACTCAGAGACTTCCTAGCTAAGACAAGCCAACTAAAAAGAGACAGTGTCTAGCCTGACAGAAGGGAACAAGCGTAATGACAGCCCCAGGAATGTAGAAATGGCTGCCAATGGCCTTGGACAGCATAAAAACTCAGGCTGATTGGGTAGAAATCCCATGTGAGATGACAGATTCAATCTAAATTGGGAGGACTGATGGATAAATCCTGCATCCAGGCCGCAGGGGTGCATGTGAATTTGTCAGGTCAACCTTAGGTACAGTGATTTGCTAGTGGGGCAAAGATGAAAGATGACATGTGATTTGCGGCTAGGATGGAGCAAAACTCTCTGACTCATGGGCTGCCTTCTTCAAACTCAATCCTAGAGCCTGGTTCTAACCAGTATATGAGTATAGGGTTCGCCTGACGGTATGGCATCTGTCATTCTAGACCGGTTGTGGGGTGCCAAGAATAGGGAGCCTACCTGGGAAGCCAAGTGGGGTTTCCTCTCCTTTGGAATTGGAGTGTTCGCTGGCTACATCCTGAGCAGAGTAAACTTTCTGTTCGTCCAGTGCCAAGAAAGTGCCTTCGCAAGGCTGGTAAGATTGGGACATATCATGGTGACTACAGGAAGTCAGAACACTTTCCTCCGGGGAGTCCTGCAGCACTTCCTTCTCTTCAGACTCCTGCAGCTTCCTGATGCACCAGACAGGAGAGGAGTGACAAGAGGGATTCAACACCACAGCATCTCAGGTGATTCCATGGGACACATAAGGGAGTGGTCACAGAAACCAAAGGGGTAGTCTTCTCCAAGAGAGAAAAATCTATCCTTCTAAATGTGGGGTGGATGTGACCGCCCTGGGGACAGAGCAAACGCAAGCAGCAGGTGCTCAGCGCATTTGCCACAAACGAGCTGCTGCGGGAGGTCCCAGACTCTCCCTGTAAACCGCGATCATGACTTGCAGCGCGGAGAACTGACACAGGGCTTGGCTTCCTATGCCTAAATGTGTTGATGTTTACATGCAGCACCCAAGTAAACACAGCACTTGAGGCATTCCGGATACACAGATCTTATCTTTTCAAAGCCCATTTTTAAAATATTTTGACATAAATTACCATTTCCCTGTTTTGTAATGAAATACTTGCCAACACGCTGACATCAAATATGTAGAAAGCATACATGCATCTCACTCTGGATTAACCACATGGGAGAGAACAGGTGACACCCCTGAGTTTGGTTAGCTCACCTGGCTCAACTGATTGCATATTCCTATGCAAGGGGGGGATTAAGAAATTGAAACCTGGCCAGGCGCGGTGGCTCACACCTGTAATCCCAGCACTTTGGGAGGTAAAGGCAGGCAGATCACAAGGTCAGGAGATCAAGATCATCCTGGCTAACATGGTGAAACCCTGTCTCTACTAAAAATACAAAAAAAAAAAAAAAAAAAAAAAAATTAGCCCAACATGGTGGCAGGTGCCTGTATTCCCAGCTACTTGGGAGGCTGAGGCAGGAGAATGGCGTGAACCCAGAAGGCAGAGCTGGCAGTGAGCCGAGATCATGCCACTGCACTCTGGCCTGGGAGACACAGCAAGACTCTGTCTCAAAAAAAAAAGAAAGAAAGAAATTTGTAACCTACTCAAGTACCACAATCAAAAAGACAGCATTGTTAAAACGTATAATTTGCAGCTGGATGAATGGATGAGGCAGTTCTGTTTGTCACTTTCTATTTTTCCCTGGATCTACAGTCTCCCGGTGTCACTATTGTACTAACATCCCACAAATCTACAGAGTTACCTGGGGGGCACTGGCGCTTTCCCTTCCTCTTCCTTATGATCATTTCGATTTTCTGTAAACAAATTCAGAAGAGCAGGTCACATTAAGCAGATCACGCTTCACACAAGACCAAATCAGTGTCTAGTCATAGCACAAGGACATAAATATTCTCAGTGTAAGAATGTGATATTCTGACAGGAACGTTCTAATGTGCCCTAGATTAAGTCTTGACAGAAGTAGATGAGCCTGCTTTTCAGATCCGTGGGACAAAATCTCCCTCATCTGGTAGATCTTAATCTTATATCCTCTGACCTGAGTCAGCACAAACAATTAAATCATTTTCCCTAAGATTTTCAAAAATTGCCCTAACTGATTTCCAGAAGTGCTGCTGCAATACTGATTTATCTCTTCATATATCATGGTCAATGAATGGTTAGAGAAATTTATATAGAAAACTGAACCGATAGATTAATTCTAACAACTTTTGCTTAACAAAGAATCTGTGGGGCTGGCGGGTGGCTCATGCCTCTAGTCCCAGCACTTTGGGAGACCAAGGCAGGCAGATCACTTGATGTCAGGAGTTCAAGATCAGCCTGGCCAACATGGTGAAACCCCACCTCTACTAAAAATACAAAAATTAGCCAGGCGTGGTGGCGCACACTGGAAGTACCAGCTACTCGGGAGGCTGAGGCAAGAGAATCACTTGAACCCTAGAGGCAAAAGTTGTAGTGAGCCAAGATCACGCCACTGTATTCTAGCCTGGGTGACATGGTGAGACGTCATCACAGGAGAAGAAAAGAAAAAAGAAAAAGAAAGAAAGAGAAAAAAAAGAAAGAAAAGAAATCTGTGGTGCTACACAGAAACAGTGGCCACTCATGGGGTGAAGAACTCAGGACCCAGCCTTGCTTTATGGAAACTTATAAGCAAGATTAGGGTACAAGTGTTGATGTCCTGGTTTCAGTTGACTGAATAGCTGAGACAAGTTGGTTTAAAGGAGATCCAGACTGGAGATGAGGAGAGTGAAACCAGGGAAACAACATCTTCAAATAAATGGACAAGGCTATCAGTGGTCTCAGATAGGCAAAGAAACTGCATAGACATTGTTCAGAGACACAAATTACACCATTGTAGCTGACAAGAGACATAGGAACCGAGCTAGGAGGCCTGACAGATACCTCCTGTACTCTTCCTGTACATGGGTAGCTATGGCTTTGTCACACCTGCCTCTGTTCCAATAACCTGATACTAGGGCCAGGATGAGAAAGGTATCACATAGGCCAGGGAGTACAGGAAAGCTCTCTGATCCACTGGTATCTGTGTTTAATATTCCATCCTAGTTTCTCATTCTCTCTCTCCTCTTTCACTTCTCTCTCTCTGTCTCTCTTTCTCTCTCTCTCTCTCTTTTTCTTTTTGACACAGGTTCTGGCTCTGTCGCCTAAGTTGGAGTGTAGCAGTGCAATCACGGCTCACTGCAGCCTCTACCTCCCAGGCTCAGACAATTCTTCCACCTAAGCCTCTTGAGTAGTTGGGACTATAGGCATGCAGCAGCATGCCTGGCTAATTTTTTGTATTTATTGTAAAGATGGGATTCACCATATTGTCCAGGCTGGTCTTGAACTCCTGATCTCAAGTGATCCACCCACCTGGGCCTCCCAAAGTACTGTGATTATACATGTGAGTCACCGCACCTAGCTCCATCCTAGTTTCTGACTCAAACCAATATGTGTGTATACAGCCCATCCTCAGAATTGATCTTCCATAGCCTAGACAGAGGTATGAGACACAAGGAAAACAGAGGTTACCTGGGAGAATGTTTAGAGCATGCTGCCATCCATCTTGAGAGGATTCACCATCTACAATCAGAGTTGAGGTGACTTTGTCTTCCTCAAATGTGATTTTTGTGTTCCTGTGAGACGGGTTGGAGTTAGAAGGGCCGTGGCTATTTGAACAACTGATGACACATTCCTCCAGTGAGTCTTCAGGGACTTCCTTTTCTTCAGCCTTCTGCGCCTCTCTGATGAGCCAAGTGGGATAGAGATGACAGAAGATTAGACCGAGAGGGATTGGACCCCAGGGAGTCCTAGCTGGTTTTGACAGGAGGCATAAGAGAGTGGTTCCAGAAAGCAAACAAGAAGTTCCCATTAAGAGAGAACAGGCAATCCTCTTCTCTCTGCAACACAGCATGGCTGCCATGGGAGCCAGAGAGGAAGAGAGCAACTGGTGTTCATTGCACTGGACAGATAGGAGCTGAGGAGGATGAAGACTCAGCTATCCCTGTACAGTACACACAGCACACACAGAGAGACAACAGCTGCCACACCCTGTGTCTAAGCTGGGTTGAATTTCACATTCTGTGGCCAAGGGAATGCAGGCTTTGGACCCATTATAGACTCCAGACATGGTGTGCCTTCTAGGCCTTTTTATTTTAACATTGTGAGATAAAATGTAATTTTTTTTTGTCTAGGTACTTTTCCTGGTGTTTAACTTTGCTAGGTACTTCCTAATTCCTCTGCTTGTTGCCTCTTTGCTATTTATCATTCATAACAAGTATCTAAAGACAACCATGGAGAAAGCAGCTTTGCACCTCCTCCTGGTTTTCACAACAGGGTAGAACAGGCCTTCTCTGTGTGTGCAGGAAGTCCCTGGGGCTGGTGAGTTTATTGAGGGTCTTCCTTAAGGTACCATGAAGACAATGGACAAACATGTTAACAGGCCTATTTCCTTGTTGGGTGAGGGCAATAAATTAGTGCACTCTGCAGCTTTCTTTATCCTGCATCCGGAATCTGACTACCTTCACTCCCTTTGTGTTCTTGCTGAGACCTTTTCCATATGTTACCACCCATTACCTGCTCCTGATTATTCAGTCTTACCTGGGGGCAGGTGGTTCCTGTACTTTATCGACCTCCTCAGCTTTATCATTTTCATCCTCATCTTCATCATCTTCTGTAAATGCAGAAGTGTTTGTTCAGATATTTCCCACTTCACACTCTGCAAGCACAGTCAGCCCAATGTGCACAGAGACATGAACATCTATGATGGGTCAGCATTGAACTGAAAGCTCTCATGTTTTATCTTTAGCAAAATGCCCTGGCGTGGTTTCCTGATCCATCAGGCAATGCATTTCTGATCTGGAGGGCCACCATCAAGATGTGGCCAAACACTGAAAAGACCTTTTGCTCCCCATATCACTGGAGGCTTGTGCAGCCTCTCTCCGGCCTTTGGCAGCTGTCTCTCCCATCCCGCCACAGATCTGATTCCCAGGCACAGGCTTGGTGTCCTGTCACAGTTTGCATTTAGAAACTAATTGTTTCTCTTAGGAGAGGACAAACTTGTCCCACAGTCCTCTATACATCAGGAGACTGCACAGGCCCTCCACGTGGCTTCTGCTGTGTTATTCAGGGACATTCTCTACATGGGAAGTGCTCCAGTCTAAAGCCCTTCCTACCACCAAATGTCCCCACATCAAGTGCCTTCTCCAACACCACACAGCGAGGGGCTTCATCTCATTTTGAAAAGCAGTCATAAGTGTTCCGGCATTTGAATGATAGAGACACTTGCAAGAGACAATGTGTCTGCCTTTGTAGAATGAGAGACAGTAACCCAGGAAAGACAAACAAATCACTCACCAACAGTTACTAAGAACATTGCCGAAGAGACAGCCTGGGAACCTTCATTCTTAGTCCAGAGCTCTTTTCACTCTAACAAGCGTTCTCCCATCACAGCCTCCTTCCTTTCCTTTAAAACTAGACAGATGCTGCCTCTTGCTCCAAAGACCACCTTCCATCAAGGAAGGAGGGACATTTGCAATACTGTGACCTCCAATCCCATGGATTTCTCATCTCCGTTCTTACCCAGGAAGTCCTGGTCATGTCATGGCCACATATGTTTAGTGGAAAAAAACTCCACCGATACAACTGTCATTGTGAAAGTGTGGAGGTCTGGAGTCTCTCATAAGCCTGGGGTTTTGGGTCATCAGGGCCAATGGCCACCTTACCTGGACTGAGCTTTTGGACAAGGTGCTGTGCCAGCCTACACCCCTTAGCCAGCTGTTCTCGGAGGTCCTGGGACTTGTCCGGCTCATCCAGAGTGGGGAGGGCCTGGAGATGCTGAGTCAATGAGCGGGAGGCTTCTCTCCCTTCCCGTAACTTCTCCCTTAACCGGGCCAGCTCTCGTGCCTGAGAGTGAACCAGGACTTTATATTGCCTAAGGTGAGGTGGTAGAGAAAATTTAACAGTGGAAAGGGATGAGTGATCAGTTCTAATATTGCAACAGAGATTTCTGAGACAATGTCCTCAAGGAGACCTCCAAGCAGAAGGTCAGCACATGTTTAAAGGAATGTCTGTGGCTAAGAGAAAGAATAGAAAATGGTTTACAGGCTTCCTCTGTATCAGAGAGGGCTCCTGTAAGATCCTTGATGATGTTCCATTCATCTTTCTCTTCTGTAAACAAAAGTAGGTGTCTTCCTAATGCGTTTCAAAAAGACATCCTTTCAGTTCCTCACTCTGGTCATGGACATTTCCATGTGAAAATACGCATAGTGCAACTTGCGGTGATAGATACAAAGCCATGTACAGAAATGAGGCCGGGTGCAGATGGGGCGAATTGAAAAGAAGAAAGAAGAAAAGAATGACAGGGTCAAGAAGGCAACATCGATTGAGTGAAAGAATGAGATGCCGCAGCCAGTCAGGAGGTGATTCTGACTAAGGGTAAGTGGGGTGGTGATGGCACACCATTTTGAGTATACTGAATGCTGCTGGGTGGTTCCCACTTCTTTGGTTAATTTTGTGTTATGCAAATTTCACCTCAACAATTACTTGTTTGAAAAAGAGAAAACAAGGCTCTGAGAAACAACTGCAACCCATAACTTATTATCATCCTTGTTCTGTTTGATAAATATTTGTGTGTCGTGAGCCTGCCATGGCAATTCCTTCCCTTCCCTGGCCCAGCTTAGCTCTTACTTCTCCCCGCCGAACTGCTGTACGTCAGAGATTTACACTCCTGCCCACCTGCCTGCCCCCACGGGGCCCCCTCACCTGAGCTCCTCAGCTTGCTTGAGCTGCTCTGCAAGCTTCTCCGCCTTGAACTGCAGCTCATCCCTCAGCATAGATTTTATGAGGTCTTTGCACTCTTCATACTCTGAGAAAAGACAGACACGCCTGCCTCAGTGGAAGGCTGGACATACTGCTGTGGTCACTGCCTACAGGGCAGGAGGCAGGTCCATCCCAAGGACAAAACTGTCCCCACTACCAGGCTCTAGGCAGGGATTTCCACATCTTTACTCTTCAGCCTCCTGACTTTCTGGCATCTGATCCTCCAAAATTTAGAGACAAAGAAAGAGAAACTCAAGGGCACATCAAGGAAGTTGACAAGATGATTCAACCACAACGAAGTGGAGTCAGAACTCACAGCCCCTGAGGTCTGAGTCTGAATGTGGGGCCGCTTTTCCAAGCCTTCAGCCTCTCCTCTAAAACACTGCACTGGGCCATGAAGCAGTGATTTCTTGTACAGTCGGGAAGGCCCCTAGGACTATGGGACTGATGGTTTCCCTTTTACTGGGAATTTCAAGGACAAGTATGTCAAAGATTTTTTAAAATCTTTGATTTTTAAATCATATCTTCAGATAAGATTTTAAGAATCGTATCTGAAGCATAAAGTATGAGACATAAGACCATAAGGCCATGAAGGAAATATGCCCAAATACTAATAAAGCTTGTGTTAATTTAGAAACAGTACAGTGAAGAACTAATAGATAGTGTTTACTCTGTGCCAGTAACTGTTCCAGGAGATTGGCAAGAAACAGCTCATGTAATTCACTGCAGCAATTTACAGAGGTAGGTATTATTGTAGTACTCTATGATCAAATGATAAAACTGAGGATCAGAAAAGACAAGCAACTTGGATGGAGCGCAGGACACAGGCCCAGGGTCCCTGCTATGCACACTGCACTGCTACTTCCACACATTCTCGGGTACTATCTTTCTTCCTCTTTAGGAACAAGAGCCTGTGCCCCAGGAAGCAGGACTTCCTCTCACCAGGGTACTGTCTGCTTTTTTTTTTTTTTTCCTTCGAGTCTTGCCCTGTCCCCAAGGCTGGAGTGCAATGGCGCGATCTTGACTCACTGCAACCTCTGCCTCCTGGGTTCAAAGGATCCTCCTGCCTCAGTCTCCCAAGTAGCTGGGGTTACAGGCACCTGCCACCATGCCCAGCTAATTCTTGTATTTTTAGTGGAGACGCGGTTTCACCATGTTGGCCAGGCTGGTCTCAAACTCCTGACCTTGTGATCTGGCTGCCTCAGCCTCCCAAAGTGCTGGGATTACAGGAGTGAACCACCACACCCGGCCCCTACTCCCTGCTTTTGATGCTGTCACTTATAGCTACCACAGGTTCTAAGGGAGCAGACTCCTCTTGAAGCCCCTCAGAGCGGGTACTGGGTACTATCACCAACTTTCCCTCAGGGTCCCTAGAACAGAGCTTTGCCTTTTGGGCCTCAACAGAAGCTTGAACTGAATAAAAGTTCACTAGTCCCAGACATTTAGAACAACAGACTAGATGTTATTTGTCTGTAGGATCTTATATGGTACAGAGAGGATTCTTGAAAACATGGTTGAGCCTCTTGGAGAAAACAGGTCGTTCTCTGCCTGTGTCAGAAAATCAACAACTGGGATTTGAACTCTAGTCCCACCCCAACCTGACTGCAAACACGGAAAGTTGCCAAATACTTTGGTACCTCTGTCTCCCAACTTTAACAAAATGTTAAAATAACCATTTCTGTTTTCCTAGAAGTACAGAAAGGATGAAATTATTTTTGATGGAGAGACCATTTAGTTTCTCAGAGAGAAGACAGGATGTCATTCATCACTTTCATGATGGTGAGCCTAGAGATCTTACTGTATTTATTCTGCTGGTTGGCCAGGAAGTAGGCCACTTGAGTTACAAGAAATTTCTCTTTTATGTTTCTGAACTGCTGTTTCTTCTCTGCCAGCTGGGGGCACAATTTCTCATTGATTTCTAGAATGTTCATCTCTGCCTTCTCACTGGACCAAGGGCCAGGAGATACCACCATGCTGACGTTTGTGGCAGAAGAGGTGGAGTCAGGGACTGGGGAGAAGAAACACAAATATATGGTGGGTTAAACATTGGTGAAATCAAATAGGTTTAATCAGGACTAAGGGATGTCAGTAACTGAAATTCTTAACTTACTGTTGAGAAAAACGTGATCACTCCGCACAGCACTTTAGGATCCTTAACCACAAAGACAAGGTTCGAGGTACCTTAGCTCAGAGCTGAAGGCACTGCCCGTAGCTCAGACTCTAACAAGAGTGAGGGAGATTGTGGCCAGCGTGCCAGGTAACCATCTGCAGTTGCAATAACAGAATTAGAAGGTGGGAGTGTCATGGAATCTTAGGAGCCCTGCATTCCAATTGCCCAGGCTTTGCTGAAACACAGGCACCCTGGTCTCACCTGAGGTCACCACCAATGGGGATCATTCCTTCAGCATTCACTCTCAGTATTCGTGTACCCTTGTGACAATGGCACAGACCCATCTCTTTCCCAATACATCTAAGCATATTCCTCACTGTTTAGCTCTTGTCTGTAAAAAATCGTCAAGGCAGAAACAGTTTCCCAACAGGTTATATTTTCCTAATGGTAGTCATGAAGTCACCCCACCTGCTGTAAGTTAAAACACATCTTAAGGCTTTTCCACAGGTGTAAGATATCAAACTTTTAACCTGCCCTGATATCCTCTGGGTCTTCTGCAGTTTTTTCTGTATCCACTAGAAAGTGAATAAATAATTCATTTTTTAAAAATGTTTTCTTTCCTGTCTCAGTATTATTCTTGCTGCATCCCGTTGTTATGTCGATTTCTTTTATCTTACTGGGGCAACATCTTGGGTTTTCATCACAACCAAGACCAGTTTGGCATCCCTATATCCAGAGCTCTTCCTCTATGTGGGTTGATTTGTTTTTTAATGTCACTGAGCACTACATTTTATACTTGTCACTTATGGATGTCATTCTAGTGCCACAAGAGTACTTTTCAAAGTATCAAGTGATCAACATCATTTATATAGAGGTCTCCTGAAAACACGTGTGACCATCTGTCTTGGGAATTTTTGTAAACCTGATGCTATTTTGTTGTTTCCATTTTTTTTCCCATATACTGAAAAGAACAGGGCTACGAGCAGTTCTTATGGAATATGGTTTGATGTATATTTTGTTGAGTTGGACTAACACCATTGATTTTTGGTTGCATTCAAAACAGAACATGGCAAGATCAAGGTTCTGGTCAGGGTTGGTTGGTGATCCTCAGTGTTGCTGTGCAGTAGAAGGTGAGTTTGAGGTGAGAGGAACGAGTAGGAAAGGGTGATCCCCTGAACCACCTACTCACTTTCTTAGCTTTCACTCCCACCTGGGTTTTGTGAGCCTGGAACTTGGGAGACTGTTCTGTAGCCCAGGTCTCCCAAGATAGGCTGCTGGACTTGCCTGAGTTGAGGGTGCAGTGGGTGTGACCCTGGGCTGCCCAGCATTCATGTGGAAGTGAAGGAAGAACTGGATCAATCCCATTTGAAAGCATCCGTCTCTGCAGCCCACATCATCCTCCAATGACACTGTAAGGATATTGCTTTGAGATGCATCAAAGGCTTTAAGTCAATGCATTTTCTGGGGTCTGGGGGTCCTGACATTCTGTGTCAGAATGAAAATCTGTCAAGTATGATAAAACTGCAGGTTCACAAAAGTTATATGGCTTACATGAGGTCACACAGGGATGAGTTTTCAGCACTGCCAATAAAAGCAATCACAATAATTATTCAGTAATTATTCATAGGATCCATATAATTCAGTAAATATTCACATAATTATTTAGTAATTATTCATTGACCAATTCGTACTAGGTATTTTGTTCAAAACTGTGCTCATATTTGGACATTGTATCTTCATCATAATCCTTAAGGTAATGCTATTATCCATAAGTAACAGGTAAGAAGCCTGAAGAAGAGGGATAGCAAACCATGTGTTTGGCGATATTTCCATTTCTTGGTTTTTGTGATGCTGGAAGAATGAGCAGAATGAGTCACAGGAAGAGAATTCATTCCTGTATTATTTTCCAGGACAGAGATGTGCCCTCCTAGAGTACTGGGACCAAAATTCCCAAGTGTCTGCAACCTTGCTTTAACAGTATGGGAAATAACCTCTATCACCTGGAATTTCCCTGGAACTTTGGAATATGCAAGAGAAGTATGAGACTTGGGTCTTCCCTTGGCTGTGTTTAATTCACTCTTCGATTCACTCACTACCTTCTCCCAGGGTGGGGATTATTCTATTCATGAGGGATCCACTCCCATGCCCCAAACACCTCCCATTAACCCCCACCTCCAACATTGGGGACCACATTGAAACATGTGATTTCGAGGGGACCAATATCTAAACTATAGCAGCCACCATAGATTAATTTTGCTTATTTGTGTGCTTCATAAAAATGGAATCATTATGGCTGGGCCTGGTGGCTCACACGGGTCATCCTAAGACATTGTGAGGCCGAGGCGGGCAGATCACCTGAGGTCAGGAGTTCGAGACCAGCCTGGCCAACATGGCAAAACCCTGTCTCTACTGAAAATACAAAAATTAGTCAGGCATGGTGGCAGGTGCCTGTAATCCCAGCTACTTGGGAGGCTGAGGCAGGGAGAATTTATTGAACCCAGGAAGTGGAGCTGAGATCGTGCCACTGTGCTCCAGCCTGGGCAACGGAGCAAGACTCTGTCTCAAAAAAAAAAAAAAAGGAATCATTTAGTATGTTCTCTTGTTTTGACTTTTCTTACTTAGGTGGTTATATATGACACTAATTTGTTTGATTGCGTTTTTCTCGTTTCATTTTGTTTTGGCCAAGTAATATCCTATTGATTGTATGGTTATCACACAATTTGATATCCCTTTTTTTGATGGAAGACAGGTTTGCTTATTGGCTACTGTGCATAAGTAACTATGAATATTCTTGTACAATTATTTTTGTGAATATACACACTTATACTTATTTTACTTATTTTCCTGGGTATCTAAACCTAGGGATGAAATCGTTTGGTGAATGGGTAGAAAATAGTCACAGAGTTTTGCAAAGAAGTTGTATTATTTTACATTTCTATGAAAGATACAGGCCATTTCCAGGTGCTGTACCTTCCCACACACTTAATATTTTCAGTCTTTTAAATTATAGCCATTCTACCATGTGTATGGAGATATCCTATTTTGGTTTTCTCATACCTATTGTTCATTTAGATAACTTCTTATGGAAAAGACCTTTTCAAATGTTTCTGTTCATTGATATATTGGGGTGTTTGTCATTTTCTTTGTAATCTATAGGGAGTTCTTTATATATGTTGAATGAGTCCATTTATATATACATTTTTTGATATTATATAGCAAATAATTATTTCTGGTCTACAGATAGCTTTTAAGTTGTTAAAGAAAACATAATAAGCAGAAAGTTTTTTAAAATGAAGTGCAATTCACTTGATTGCTTACTGTGGTGAGTGCTACAGTATCTCATCTAAGAAATATTTTCGTATGTCAAGTTCATGAAACTATTTCCTGTTTTTCCTTCACAAGGTTTCTCATTTTAACTTTCATGCCTTAAGTTAAATTCAGTGTATGGTGGAGAGTGGTTGTTAATATTAACTTTTCAAAAAAACAAATATTACTTCACTCAAAAACGTTTTACTTAAAAGTCTTCTATTTCCCCAATGAAGGGCATTGGTATCTCTGGCAGTGCCAGCGCCTTGGTCAGGATGGCAGCGCCTGCCCTGAGCTCTCCGCCTCTTGCGCCCACCAGCCACGGCGGCCCCAGCAGCAGCGACCAGAGGAGCCCCTGCAGCAGCGCAATGGCCGGGTGGATGCCTCTATCTACAGCCTGGTGGCAGACGGGACCTGTTAGGACGTGGCCATCGTGGGCTACAAGGACTCGCCTTCTGTCTGGGCCGCCGTCCCAGGGAAAACTTTCGTCAACATCACCCCAGATGAGATTGGTGTCCTGGTTGGCAAAGACTGGTGAAGCTTGTTCATGAATGGGCTGACACTGGGGGGCCAGAAATGTACTGTGGTCCCAGACTCACTGCTGCAGGATGGGGAATTGACCATGGATCTTCAAATGAAGAGCATCAGTGGAGCCCCCACCTTCAATGCCATTGTTACCATGACTGCCAAGACGCTAGGCCTGCTGATAGGCAAAGAAAGTGTCCATGGCAGTTTCATCAACAAGCAGTGTTATGAAATGGCCTCCCACCTTCAGTGTTCCCAGTACTGATCTCCTTTGTTCCTTCCCCTCCACCGCTTCCCACAGCTTTGCCCCACTTTCCTTCTCATACACACATACATCATTTTAATTCTGGGGGCCATTACCCCACACCCCTTATTGCTGCCAAAACCACATGGGCTGGGGGCCAGGACTAGAGGGGCAGACACCCCCTGTACCCATACCCCTCCTGTGTGTGGTTGAAAAACTTTTTCATTTGGGGGTTTTGAGTTTTTTTAATGAATAAAAAAGATTCTACTAAAAAAATTAAATAACTGTACATATGTGGGCATATTGTTTGAATCTGTATTCTTTTACTTTGATATATTTATGGATACATACACCAAACTACCATTTTTAAATTACTGTAGCTTTAAAATCAGGTTTGAAATCTAGCAGAGTAAGTCCTCCAAGTTATTGCTTCTTCAAGACCGACTTGCCTATTCTAGATTCTTTGATTTTCAGATACATTTTGAAATTAGTTTTTAAATTTCTCTAAAATCTCTTACTAGAAATATTAATCAAAATTGTGTGGATGTACTATGCTAACAAAATTGAGTCTTCCAATCAATGAACATGATATGTATTTCTCTGTTTAGTCTTATTTAATTTTCTCACCAATTGCTTTTAGGGGCCTTGTACCTGTTTCATTGCATGTATTCTTAAGCATGTAATGATTCCAGCTATCAATCTCTATTATATTTTATTGAATTTCATTTTCTAGCTGCTAATTGCTAGTATGGAGAAATTAAGATGATGAAATCAACTTTATGAAAGTATAATTTAGTTACAGCAGACTGCACCACTTTAAAATGTATAATTCAATGCATGTTTACAAATGTATACACTAACGGAACTACTGCCACAACCGAGAGAGGAATTTCCCTATGCCCCAAAGTTTCTTATACCCCTTTGCAGTTCATCCATCTTTCAACCCTCAGTTCCAAGGAGCCGCTGTCATTTCAGGTCCGTTTGCATTTTTAACCATTTTCTATAAATGAAATGATACCTGTGTTCTTTTGTGTCTGCCTTCTTTCATGCATCAACTTCACTTTAAAATCCATCCATATGAGTATTTGCATCAACAGTTAATGCCTTGTAATTGCAAGTAGTATTCCTTTGTGCAGCAATACCATGTTTGTTTATACATTCACTTGTGATTGAACGTTACCATCATTCCAGGTTTGGGCTATTATGAAGCTAACGTGAGCATCCATATATGGAAGGCCAGGTCTCACTAATGCAGGCCTCCCTAACTACTGTTTCAGTACCGACTGAGTGGTCAAATTAAGTATTAAGAGCAAAAAATAAGCCAGTGCCCTTATACAAAGGCTAGAATGTAACAAAAGCCCACCAAGAGTTTTGCCTAGGCTTTTCCTGGGCCTTAAAGCATGACAAAATAACGAAGGAATTCTTAACAGGAATCATTTAGGATTAAATAAGTTTTATTGGAAGTCTGAAGGAACTCCCCAAACCTCTGCGATTTAGCAGGAGACAAGATGAGGGTCCCCACCACCTGGACCCATTAAATTAAGTGAATTTACTGAGGCTCCAGAGGCAGGTGT